ATTTATTTACACTTTTTGTAGATATACAACGGCGGACTTAATGCCTAGTGGCATTTTCTAACAGTCAACCTTAGGGTGGTGCAGAGAGATACAATAGTAGGTGTAAACGTTTAACACTTATTAGAGTGACACAATAATTAACATTAACATTAACATCATATATAATTATACATATCACACAATATATACTAATTAAATATAATGAAGAAGTATTAAAATATATACGTAATGCAAAACGAACAGTAGACAAATAAGTATGGGACATATATATACCTAAATATACGAAGGAAAATACATAACATAACATATATACATACATAATTATACACATACATATATGTAAATACGTACAAGACCTAAGTGTGTGTTGAGTCTGCTAGCCTCTTCTGTAGATACTCACGAACCTTAAATTTGAAGGACAGACGACTGGTCGCCGTCCTGATATCCGTCGGCATCGCATTCCACAGCAAGATGGATTGGACGAAAAAAGAAGAGTGAAGGAAGTCAGTTCGATGTGTGGGACATTGTAACAGAAGATTATTAGAAGAACGGAGGTATTTGCTATGGTTAGCGCTCACATACTGGAAATATGAGGAAAGATAAGTAGGAGAATTGGGAGAATTAAGAAGGGAGAATAAAGTGGTTAGCGCCCGTTGTTCCCTGCGCTGACGTATGGGCAACCACTTTAGTTGCAATCGAAATGCAGAGACATGGTCGTACTTACGCAGAATGAAGAAGAATCGAATGCAGGTATTCAAAAGGCGGTCAAGTTTGTTAAGTAGATCTGCATTCATATTACTAAGGCTAATACTAGCTACAGGTCTAAATTTAAACATACTTCTCTAAGTTCCTTAGTTTTTCTATAAGATTCTGAGGACTTATAATACTAGTATGCATTTTTTTTAAGGGGGCATAATCATAAAATGTCTACTCCCGTATGGTTGAGGCGGGAGCAGTCAGACTCTTACTGACTAAAAACCACCCCGTTCCTTCTCCTGCACGTCGAGCCGAAGCCCCGGTAACCCGTTAGGTTTGAGCGATCGTCATGGCATCTTCTAACAACATAAATCTATCAAGAATTATCTTTAAACTCAAATCTATCTGTTCGTAAATATCTAAGAAATGTAAGTGGTTAGATACATCATTGAAATTATTAATAATGTTTCTCAATAAACTAGTAAAATTAATCTGGTTATTATTTCATTTAGTTAACTGCTTACTAAACTCATCCATTGTATTGTGGGCCAAAATTAAGGACTTACTTTGCAAATCTTGAGCTGTTTTAACTTTGTTCCTTATGTTTGAGATTTCTACCCCAAACTTAGCTGCATCTTCATGATCCAGATTTCCTGTAATAGACTTAACTACAGTACCTAATCCATCTATAAGACCGCATCGCTTTCTAACTTGCGGCGTTAGAAACTTAATCTTTCTATCTATAATACTAAAACTATATTCTATTTGATTTCTGTACGTTTTATGTAACGATCCAGACTCTGTACTTTCAGCTGCTTTTGCACTTGCATATAATGACATAAGTTCGATAGATGTCAAATGGAAATCACTTACGTTGTATACGCAAGCGAGACTAAAGTAGTTGTCCTGTTTGAGGAGTTGACCTTGCTTGAGGAGAAGGGTACCATTATTATTTCCTACAGGGTCAAGGGTTACGATTGCTGTTGCGTTGAGCACGAGGGCTACGGCGATGAAGGTCCTGTAACAAGATGAGGCCTCCGTAGTAGCTTAAACTGAACTCTAATAGATTTAGAGTTGGGATGATTACCAATTATCTTAACAACGTTGTTAGGGTGTAAGTACAGAATCTTGTAAGATCCTTTGAAGACAGGTTTGGTTTTATCTGCTCGAGCTGTCTTGGCTACCTGTTTATAAACAGTTTCACCTACCTTAAATCTTATTTCTTCTGCTTCTTGAGTTCGCATAGCAATTACCTGCTCCTTATTCTTAGACATGAGTGCTGCGATGCACTCTTGAACAGCCTCGGCATTAGCACTTAGCTTAATAACATAATCCTGATAAAACTCTTTTGGGTAATGAAACTCCAATGGATTTCTAGATGCTTATGTCCGATAAATAACTCGTGAGGTCTATAATCAGTGGCTGAGTGAATAGCGTTATTATAAGCTATAATAGAATACTTCATTATTAACTGAATAGGATCATCTTTGTTAGTCATTCTTTGTATTCTAATTAGTTCAGCCAGTGTAGAATGTAAGCGTTCGATAGGAGTGTTAGAATTAGGGTTGTATGGGGTGGTAAAATGTATATGAATATTATGTAGTGCGCATATTTCCTTAATAACATCGTTATCAAACTTAGTATCGGAATCCGTAGTTATTTTATTTGGTAGATCTAATACTGAGAAGACATTTAGTAATGCTTCAGCTACATGAACACTACTTCATGCTGTAAATGAGACTGCTTGAGCGTACTTGGAGAAATTATCAATAATTGTAAGGAACGTTGCTCCTCCTGTAGAATATAGATAGGTCCATGATAATGTGTTCCATAGGTTTACGCGGGGTGTCAGTAATAGCTAATGGTGGTTTAAGAGTTGCGTTCATATTTGGACTTTAAGCATTGTCGAAGCGCCTACCGCTTTTATAAATGCAATTACACTCGTCTGGCTAATGATGCAAACGAGCGCTTGTTAGGCGTATTCGCGGTTAAATTTATTATATTCTGTAATCTCTCATCAATCTGCTTTTTGTCATTGTTATTAATTCTACACGACTGCTTTAAACTGTCGAACACCAAGCGGTCACCGGTGACCGCAACCTATTATTCTTTAATAAGAATAAGAACGTTTATTTGCACGAAGTATGGTAATTACAGGTAGTAATAATTATAAAAATTAGTCCCACATACATCGCCTACTGTTTTCGGCATGCAAAGTTAAGTTTTACAATATAATAAAGTTAAAATCTTACATTCAATAAAACTAATTACAAAAATTCTTACAACTAGGATAACATAACTATTCCTCGCAACATATTATTATTACTTTTCTTCTTTATTCACATATTTATCATTTTAGTGACTTACTAAATAACAACACACTTAATATTGCACACATTAAACTTCCATTGTAATCTATACTTCTATACTAGCCATCAGACCACCACAGACGGGGCCCAATAGGGCCGATGCCGATTCGGAGTCGCGGAGAACCTAACGGGTAACCGGGGCTCCGGCTCGACGTGCAGGAGAAGGAACGGGGTGGTTTTTAGTCAGTAAGAGTCTGACACTCCCTCCCGCCTCACCCAGGCGGGAGCAGTCATTCGATGATTTTCCCCCCTTAAAAAAAAAAAAA